TTTTTAAAAAAAAGAGCTGTTTAGCATAGTTACTAAAGTTAGAAACAGGCCTCCTGTCAATTAGCTGTTGCTTCATAAACATGCCAAAACTTAGTAATTTCAATTGACAAAATATTTATTCTTTCCCATAATTCTGTAGGTAGATTCAGTGGTTCTTTTACTGGTCTTTCCTGGGTTCACTAATGCCTTTGTAATTAACAGGTGTGTTAGCAAGGATGCTTGGTCTGAGGCAATCTCATTTAAGATCTCAGCCATAATAGCTAGAAAGCGCAGACCACAGATCTTCTCTCCATATGGCTTTTCTTCCAGACTTCTTCACAGCTTATTGATCTCAGGCTTCCAAAGAATAAGAATTGAGACCTAATTTGGAAATTAATTATACAGCATCACTTCCACCACATTCTATTCATCAGAACCAATCATGTAACCATAATTATCACAATTGACACAGGAAAGACATTTGACAAAATCAAACACCCTTTCATAAAGAAAACATTCACCAAACTTGGAATAGAAGGAAAGTTGCTCAATACAAAAAAGGAATTTTAGGAAAACCGCATAGTCAGCATCATAATCAAAGGGAAATATATGACATTTCCCCCATAAAGAACATCACAGGGATGTCCATTCTCACCACTGCTGTTTAGCATTGTACTACAGTGCTGGCTGAACAGGCAGGAACAGGATAGAAAAGGGACCCGTGTTGGGAAAGAACAGGTAAAACTATCCCTTTCGCAGGTGACTTGACCCCATATATAGGAATTCCCAAAGGACCCACCAGGAAGCTACTAGAGCTAATAAATACAAGTATTTGCATGTTCTAGTCATATTTCAATCCATTAGCAATGAGCAAACTGGCAATTCCATGCATGTTAGCATTCTAAACAATTAAAATACTTTGCAATATGAGTAACTGTTGTATGCTGTCAAGTCGGAACTCACTCATACCTGACCCTCTGGGTGTAATTAGATGAGTGAAGGTCATGTACACTGACAGCTATACAATACTGTTGCAAGAAATTAAAGGACACTTAAATAAATGGACAGGAGCTCTGCTGGTCCCCTTCCCATGGTGCTTTGAATCCGCCATCTGCTCTAAGGGACAAGGATGGGCCATCTTCTCTAGTGCAATTTGCAGCCTCCTGGAAGGTCAGCTAAGTCAGCTCCACCTTGACTCATTGAGTGGTGCTGAAATCTACGTGCTTCTAATAGGTGACCCTACTTTTCCTTGATGATAATTGAGAAGGAAGAAAAAGATAGAGAGGGGAAATACTTGGGTTATTTTTTTTTTAATGGGAAAGAGAGTAATTTTTCCCTTCTATCATTTGTGCTTTTGTAAGTACAATTTTGACCTAAATGGTCAGGACTATATTATGTAATATTGGAAATTGCAGGTAAATTAATGGGTTTAATATTCTTATTTTGATATTTCCTTTTTAGGAGCAGATATTAAAGACAAATTAAAATGTTACGACTTTGATGTACATACAGTGAAGACACTAAAAAACATCATTTCACCTCCATGGGATTTCAGAGAATTTGAAGCAGAAAAACAGACTGTGGAAGAAACAGGGCTTCCCCCATTGGACACCTCACGGAAAACTGCAGATTCCAGGCCTTCATTAGAAGAAACTTTTGAAATTGAAATGAATGAAAGTGACATGATGTTAGAGACCACTATGTCAGACCACAGTACGTGATTCCAAACTGTGGTCCAGATTTCGTTTCGTCATAGTTTATAGTATTACTAGAGTATTGTCATAGTATAGTATATTATTTTCCTATTTTTCAACACGAACCCAAACTACATCTCCATTTAGGATCAGAGATCTGCCTTAAAGACTGGATAACACACCTTCCACAGATATTTTCAGAACCTACAGAATAATTATATGTAGAATAAAGAATAATGAAATTGCTATTTATTTGATTCATTGAATTGCAGAAGAGAAATTTTCTGACAATCAGTTTTAAATCCTTTTATAGTTTATCATCTGACTTCCAGGGGTTGGAGTGAGAACTCTTAACTACTCTTAAGAACTACAGTTGTTCTTATATTGCTCATAAGAATCTGCATTAGCTGTGACTATTTATTTCTATTTTGTCAGAATTAAAGTGATGTCATACCTCAGGATCTCATCCTAAGGAATGTAATATGATTCAAACTTAGCAGGTTCTAGAACATATTGAATATATTGGAACAGCCCCGAGATGTGAAACTGGCTGACAGACGTCTTCTTCCATGGGTGGTGCATAGGGGACCCATGGTGCAATGGGGTTTTTTTTGGTGTGCCTATGTGAAGTTAGAATGCCCTTACACAGCTGAATAACTTGAGTAGTCTACCTCTGTAAAACCTTTTGTGAAAGAGGTTTTTGTCTTTATGGATCGTAACGCCTCAAGGTTAAGACCATTTCCCCAGATATGTTAGCTTTCAAAGTAATCAAATTTAGGTTATATCGACTCTATAATCTAACATAAAAATAAATGAATTCTTGCCTGACTTCATTTCATTTTTTTAAGTAATATTGTGATTTCTTTGGCTTCAATTCAAACTACCCAGTTAAAATTATAACGTTCTATATCGCATGTACTACAACTGTTACTTTCTGAATGTATGTTTCCATGTAAATTGTTTTATTTTCTGCATTTACATTCTTCAAATATGTGAATCTGTATACAGCATTTCCTTCCTTTATAAGGATTCAGCTGTAAAATCACAATACAGCCTTTTGCATTGAATTCTTAGTGTGTGACCGCAACAGAGAAGTATTTCACCATTTATCTTTTATACCCTGGAAATGTCTATTTTATATCTAATTCTTTTATTAAAAAATATGATATCCAGATAATTTTTTGTAATGTTCATGGATTAATACAATATTAGAATATCACCTATTATCCCATATGAGACTTAAAGTAACATCTTAATTAGAATGAAGTTGTGCAATTTGATCTTGATCAGTAATATGGTTGTTTCTTTGTTGTTTTCAGATGTGCATGGCTTTTCCTTTTTTTAATGTTTTTGTATTGTGATTTTAATGAAAGTTTACAGAAAAGTTGAATTCCCACTCATTCATTGTTGCATAATTTCCTCCTTGTCCCCACTCCTCCACCAGTTCACTTTGCTATGTACCTTTTATTCTGGACTGTTGTCATACCCATATATTCCATTTAAATAGTTCTTTCCCTCATCTGTTCCAATGCAGTGTTCATTATTTATCCCCTTTTTGTAGTTTCTCCCCAACCCCCATGTTAGTCCTGTTTTATAACAATGGTGTTATACAGTATTTTTCCTTTTGTGACTGAGATATTTCACTCAGCATAATATCCTCCATGGTGACCCATGTTGTATAATAATTTATGAGTTCCTTGTTTTTTAGTGCTCCATAGTATTCCACTGTGTGAATATACCATAGATTTCCTATCCATTAATTTGTCGATGGACACTTGAGTTGCTTCCCTCTCTTTGCTATTGTGAATAACACAGCAATAAACATGGGTGTGCATATATCTATTTGGGTGGCAGCTCTGGTTTCTTTAGGTTATGTTCCTAGTAGTGGGATTGCTGGGTCAAATGGTATTTCTATTTGCAATTTTTTGAGAAAGTGCCATACTGCCTTCCATAGTGGTTGCACCATTTTACACCCACCAGCAGTGAATAAGGGTTCCTTCCAGTTTCTCCACAACTTTGCCAGCATTTGTTGTTTGCTGCTCTTTTGAATTTTGCTATTGTTACTGGGGTAACAATATCTCATTGTTGTTTTGATTTGCATCTCTCTAGCTAGGGATTTTGAACATTTCTTCATGTGTGTGTTTGTCAGCTGAATGTCTTCTTTGGTCAAGTGTCTGTGCATATCCTGTGCCCATTTTGCAGTTGGGATGTTTACTTTTTTCTTGTTAAGGTGTTTGAATATTCTATAAATTTTATATATGAATCTCTTATGAGCTATATCATTACCAAATGTTTTTTCCAAGTTTGTGGGTTTTCTTTTTACCCTATTGGAGAAGTTTTTTGATGTGCATATGGATTTGATTCTTAGAAGGTCCTATTCAAGGGGTGCTCTGGTGGCCTAGTGGTAAGGAGCTGCAACTACAATCCCAGAGGCTCACGGTTCGAATCCACCAGATGCTCTGCCGGGGAAGGAGGGACAATCTCCTCCTGTACCAGTCAGATCTGATTTGATGGTACACTTACACAAATAATAAAATTTTAAAAAATTACTGATTTTTTTAAAAAAAAAAAAAGAAGAAGGTCCTATTCATCTATTTTATCTTCTCCTGGTTGTAGGTTTTTCAAGATGCTAGGAAGACTTTTCATACTGTGAATTAGGAGTTCTAGAGTTTTTCTCTGATGAAGTTTATTGTCCTTGATTTTACTCCTAGGTCGTTGATCTACTTTGAGTTGGTTTTATGTATGGTGTGAGGTGTGGGTCTTGCTTGAGTTTTCTATACATGGTTTTCCAATTTTGCCAACACCATTTGTTAGACTCATTTCCCCACTTAACTGACTTAATATCCTTGTCAAAAATCAGTGGACCATATATAAATGAGCTGATTTCTGGGTTCCCAGTTCTGTTCCATTGATCTGTTTGTCACTGTACCAGTACTATGCTATCTTGACCACCACAGCTGTGTAGTAGGATTTGAGATTAGGGAGTGAGATGCATCTACCTTGTTTTTCTTTTCCATAAGTACTTTTATGTATTTGAGGTCTCTTTCCATTCCAGATGAAATTGTAAATTGCCTTTTCCATCTTGATAAGCATGGCTTTTCATGTTTATTCTTTCACTGCATATATAAATTATTATTTCATTGCATATATAAATTGTTCAGAACTGGGACATGCATCCATGAACAAAATCTACTTGATCTTTTTCTTCAGGGGACATATACTCTGAAATGAGATACACATTCAACAAAGTACAGCGGCAACATGAACAGTGCTATACATAGAAATTCCAAGTGTTCCGTGTGTGTGTGTGTGTGTGTAGCGGAGGAAAGACATGATCAATGAAGATCTTTCTAAAGAAGGCAATACTTGCATCATGCTAAGGCATAAAGAATAAGATTATCCATGCAATGATGGGATAGGTGGGACTAAATAAATTACAAGTCTTTAGAAATGGAATAATCCAGAATGACTGGAGCATAGTGTTCAGTGGCAAGCAGTGGGCAAGATATAAGGCCTTACAATTTTTGTCAAAGATTTCTTTAAAGAGGTTGTAAATAGAGAAATAACATCAGAATGTTTTAAATGACTGCCATGGAACAAAGACATGATTAGAATTAGATGTTCAGAAGCTAGTATTTAAGCTATGTATCAGATGTTTGGTTTAGTGTGGTTGGAGGCAGTGGAACTAGGTAGATGACCTGAGTAAGAGATTTAAAATGGCCTTATGCTAAAGACCAGTACTGACGGATTCTAGGGTCAAAATCTTGAATGATATAGGAAGCGTCAAAAGGAGATGGACTTAATACAGAGTCAAAGTACTAAAAGGAATTGGTCAGCACTGAAATAGCATAGGATCAAGAACCATGGTAATAAAAGAAGTTCAAGTCACACCAAAGTCATTGGTAAAAAAATAAAGTCCCTGGTATTGATGGAATACCAGTTGAGGTGTTTGAGCAAATAGATGCAGCCCTGGACATGGTCGCTGCACCAAGAATTTGGAAGACAGCTACCTAAGCAACTAACTGGAAGAGATTCATATTTCTTCTCATTCCAAGAAAAAGGGATCAAACAATATGGAAATTACTGTTTACTCGCCATTGGGTATCAGTTGATTTTATTTGGCCTCCTATTTCAAAAGGCCTGGTTTTAATTGTTTTTGGTCAAACGTTCTTCTAAGTGGTATAGCACTGGTCTGTCCATAGGTAACTCATAGTTGCTGAGATGCTGAACACTGTGACACTGATGTGTCAAATGTGATATTGGTTACCCATGGTGAACAGTGTTTGGTGACACTCCCCAATTAAAACAAGCTTGGGAGGAGGAGTGGCATCCGCTTCCGAAATAGCTTGCCTCTGGAAACTCTATGAACTTGGAGAAACAATGAAAGTTATATAAGTGTTCAGGTCTTTTGTTCATAGGGTTACTATGAGTTGTCTACAACTCAACATTACTTAACAACCTCATTAATATCACATGCAAGTAAAATCTTATTTTTAAGATTTTACATGCCTTAGCATGATGCCAAAGACTATTGTAAAATGTCTAGAGCAGTAAGGACATCAACAGCTGCCAAAAATTCAAGCTGGATTCAAAAGACGCATACAGGACATTATTGCTGATGTCAGACAGATCTTGGCTGAAAAAGAATATCAGAAAGATATTTATCTGTGATGTTGACTGCAAAGGAATTTGAGTAAATAATAATATTATGACTAACATTGAGAATAATGAAAATCATAGAACACTTAATTATATTCATGTGAAACCCATAAATAACCCAAGAAACAGTTGCCTAAGGAGGACCAGGGAATACTGCATGGTTTAAAATCAGGAAATGTGTGCATTAGGGTTGTTTCTTTCCTCTTTACCTATTCAATCTGTATGTTGGGCAAATAAGTTGAGAAACCATGGAAAAGAATGTGGCATCAAGATTGGAGGATGACTCATCAATAACCTGTCATACAGATGATACAGCCCTGTTTACACAAAGAGAACATGAAATGCTGCAGAAGATCAAAGACTTCAGCCTTCAATATGGATTACATCTCAAAATCAAGAAAACAAAATTACTCACCACAATAAGCAACATTAGGAAAAATGGAGAAAAGATTGAAATTAATTATTTCAATTTAGTTTTATCTATAGTCAACACTCAGAGAAGTAGCTGTCAAGAAAGCAAAAGATGTATTGCTTTGGGAAAATCTGCTGGTAGGTACTTCTCCAAAGTGCTGAAG